AGCAAAATTGGCAATAACTAGTCTAAAGAAAATATTTTTCCATCTTAGGCGTGGATTGTAGAACGAATGGGAAAATTTCACAAAATTTTAGATCCAGGCCTAAACATTTTACTTCCCATCATTGATAAAGTCAAATATGTACAAGTTTTGAAGGAATTAGCAATAGATGTGCCACAACAAAGTGCAGTAACATCAGGTAGACTATCTGATGCAAACTTCAGACATATTATATGTTTGTGTGGCAAACTTGCAATTGAATATTTTGCAATTTTGTTTTAGATAATGTGACCCTAAGTATTGATGCTGTGTTATATTTAAGAGTAACTGATCCTTATTTAGCATCATATGGTGTTGAAGATGCTGAGTTTGCTGTAATTCAGGTAGCCCAAACCACAATGAGATCTGAATTAGGAAAAATATCTTTAGATAAAGTATTCAGAGAAAGGGAAGAATTAAATGTCTCCATTGTTGAAAGTATCAATAAAGCCAGTAGTGCTTGGGGAATAAAATGCTTACGATACGAGATACGTAAGTTATTGATATAATGAATGTTTCATATTGCATGGTTAATATTCAAAGAAATTTATTTAAAGTAAATAATTTATATTCTTTACTCTATCATTTGTATTAATTCATATATACAAATTCAGGGGATGTAAAATTACCATCAAGAGTACAGGAAGCAATGCAGATGCAGGTAGAAGCCGAACGAAAAAAACGTGCTGCTATATTAGAATCCGAAGGTGTTAGGGAAGCTGAGATAAACGTGGCTGAAGGCAAACGACTCGCACGAATTTTAGCTTCTGGTGTTGTATCTCATTCAGCCTAATTTCCAATTAATGAGCTTGAAATTACAAAACATTAACATTATTTCTTATAATTTTTTTTTATAATCTGAAAAATTATTAATAAAATTATTATTTGAAAAAAATTTAATATTACATATACAAACACATGATTAATAAGAAATATGATTGTTTTGTAATAAATTTAATTTCTATAGAAGCAGCAAGGCAAGAGCAAATAAACAAGGCTAGTGGAGAAGCTGCAGCAGTAGTGGCAGTGGCAGAGGCACGAGCAAAGGGATTACAAGTAGTTGCAAATGCTCTTGGCACGGAAGATGCAAAAAATGCAGCAGCACTCAGTGTAGCAGAACAATATGTCAACGCGTTTAATAAGTTAGCGAAAATTAATAATACATTAATATTGCCAAGTAATGTAGGAGATGTTTCAACGTTCGTAGCACAGGTTTGGTCGTTTATTCACTTATCTGCACGATTAATTATCGATTGAGGAATAATTATCGATTATCATCAAACTATATTGCATTTTATAGGCGATGGCAATTTATAAACAAGTAATACCACAACACAGCAGTAATGAACAAACAAAGCAAGTAATGAGTAATCAATCAGAGGTTGAAATGGAAAATACCGATGAAGCATACGAATATTTTAGCGACAAGGAAGAAGCTGAAAAGCACAGAAAGATGGAAAAACAAAAACCTTGAAGATTATAAATGTTTATATCTGTAATAAAAAAGATATTTTCATATTTTTCGTATGTTGTTTAATTAAATTTCGCGATGTAAATATCATAATATACGATCATAAAGCATTTATGTTATGTCTATTTCATTGATTCATAGAACTTTTTCTTATTATATCATAAATTAATCCAAGTTCTTTCAAATTTACATATATTTATATAATTGCAAATCGATAGCAATTTGATTCGCAATTAAAATTGAATATTTAAAAAATCATTATGTTAGAATAATATCAAACATTTTATAATTAATATTGTATTATAAATTGGAAGTTTTACATAAAACATGATTTAACTCTGATATATGCAGTAAAAAAGATAACACAATATTTTCTTACATCTATATTCACTTGCGCTTCTTCGTTTGTATTACTGTACTCTGTACAGATACACCATAAGTTTCTTGAGAAATTCGATTCATGTAATATAGTGCAATCAAAGAAAATATTAAACATGTTGTGGTAGACACACGGTGAATTAGAGCAGAAGCAATTAGACTTAAAGTCAGTGAGAAGACCACTGTAATGAAATAAAGATATATTAGGGATTTTGCATAAACATTACTTAAGTTTCAAAACATTATTTATCTTCATGTATACTACTTGCTTATATCTTCATTTTATACTTATAAATAAAATATAGCCACGATATACAAACTGTGTAAACTAATTCGATTAATTTTACAAAAAAAAAAAGTGAAAGGAACTGATAAAACTGTAAACTAGTTGCATATTCTTTCTATTTAAAAAAAAAATTCTCGAAACTTTTCAGTTTAACTTCTAGAAAATTTCTCTGTTAATACTATCTATATACCTTCTGGGAGTAATTTTTGTTGAAAAGATTTCCCGAATACAGAACTTTCAAGATTTCCCACAGCAGTCAATGTACAAATGAATAACAAAGATCCGATCCAACCTCCTAGAATTGTTCCTAATTGTGATGAGCTGAGCCAAACTTTATACATCTGCATGCCAGAAAACAGCAGTACCACCAATATTGACGACAATACAAATGACACTCCACTGCTAACAGCTGTAATATTAATGTATGATATTATCAGTATGTTAGCAAGTATCAAAAGACTATTTCAATTAGCTCTTATTGGCTTACTACATTCTTCAAATTTATTTTTATTTAAATCACTGTTCGAAAAATCAATATTTTAAGGCCAATTACTTTTTATTATGTTATCTAAAACATCTTTTGCTATAATTCTAGAATCTATCTCAATGGCTAATTAATCTTAATCAGCGACATTCAGACTTATCATCCCAGCCTACGATTTCATTATAATTTCACTCAGATTATTAATAATTTTTACAAGAATTGTATACAATATTCTATTTTTACAACTAGAATTGTCTAAATTGCTAATTATTTAGACGCACTATTCGGCTCCAAATAAGAAATATACTATTCGTCTGTTATTTAGATATCGTCATAAAAAGATTATTAAATTACAATGATACTAATATATCATTCAATGCTAATATTCCCTCAAAACATGAACATCTGTCAATTTTTCCTGCACGATATTTAAGTAGTTCTATATAAAACTAAAGCGTCGATACTTACCCATCGTTGCTGATTAATCTGGAAATAATCATAAACACTTGTCCCTTGCTTCTCTTCTTTTTTTCGCAACGCAGCATTCAAACCACAGTAGCTCAGGTTAATTACAGTTTGGTTGCCGGTGTGTATATATACGTCAGCAATATAGACGTTGGGACATGTTCGAAAACATCACCCGAGTGACTCCGTGTATCGTTTTATCCTTGTTGTTCATCGAATATTAAACAAGGATAAAACAATACACGGAGTCATTCGGGTGATGTTTTCGAACGTAGCCATATATGCAATATAGCAATGCTCAATTGATTGAAAGATTCGACTCATTTTTAAAGTTTAATTTGTTCATTTTCATGTCGATCTATCCAATATTAATTCTTATCCAATATTAATAAATTTTAAAAAATTTCTCTGGAAATTACGTGCAATTTATTTATGTTTATAAATCTTTTGTACAAACTTAATTTTATTAATAAAATTATTCATCTATATTACTCATTATTTAATTAAATTATGATGATTATTTAAAATAGCTTGTCATCTCCTATTTTGATAAAATTAGGTTTAGTCGACACGGTTTCGCTCAAAATAAAAGAATCTGGCAGAAATACGCGGCGGTACTAAAAAATT